TGCTGAACTACTTACTGTGTGTCAAGCAGGAGTTCTGGAGTGCACTGCTGCCTTCCTTCTCCAGTGACTGGACTCCGCGCGAGCTGGAGATCTCCCGTTTGCCTTTTTTATGCCTTGCCTTAGTGCTGATGTCACAGACACACGCAGCCCGGGACAAAGCCAGGGCATTTTAATGTCACCTCCCCTCCCCAAGACCCATTATATTAATATTTTTTATCAAATCAAGAAAGGGATTTTCATGACTCATGATGGCAATTATTTTCCTTTAGAATTATATATTTTTTCATTTACACAAATCAGATAATTTAGGAATATGCTAATCTACCTTTTTTAGTAACATTAGTTCATGCTAAAATGTACTCATCTGTAAATCATCAATGGACACACACACACACACACTATACATATATATATATACACATATATATATACACGCACACATACACACATATGTGTATATATACATATGTGTGTGTGTGTGTGTGTGTATGTGTGTGTGTGTATAGTATACACACATTTCCAAAGAATCCCACTGATAAGTTTCTGCATATATGCTGTAGAATTCAATTACACAGGTGTAAGTCTCAGTCCTGGTGGGTGCATCTACACATGCACGTTTACTGAGCAGTAACCGAAATTACTGCGCAGTAATCAAAAATTGCTGCATAGTACGGGCAGTGCCTACACATGCACACCTGTACTGTGCAGTAAATATGGCAACTTATGCTGACTTGGGTGTAAATTTGATACCTGCATCATGCAGTATCAGATTTACACCTGATTAATTACTGTGTGTGTAGACTGCGCAGTAACACTGTGTTAGGACTAACTTTAGTTCCAAGTCAGTCCACATGCAGTGTTACTGCACTTTAGTGGCTGCACATGTAGACACACAGTAAACCCACTTACTGTGCAGTAAGTTTAATGCAACATAAATGCACGTGTAGATGTGCCCAGTTTGTGCTTTTTTATGAGGTTGTATCAGAATAACTATATCAGTATAGTTACAGTTGAATAAATTGCCTTGATACAGACCAGCTCCTCTAGTATATGCAACCCAAACTTGGGCCTCAGTCCTGTGATTTGCAATACTCTGGCAGACTGCAACACCTGCACAAATCTCCTTTTACTTCAACAGCACCCTGACTGAGACCATCTGTGCATTACCACGTTACAAGTGGTAAGACTGGGGCCTAAACGAAGTAGGTAAACAAAATTACCCCTCCTCAATAATTAGAAGAGCAACTCCCTACATTCACCTGGCTTCTTAGAAGTATAAATATTGTAGACACAACAGAATAAGCATATGAGAAAGATAATTTGCCAAATCTTTGGGGCCAATAATCAATTACTCTATAAATGTTAAAACTATACAAGTCCATATTCTGTCCTTATACGTCCTTGTAGCACAATGTTCCCAACACAATAAGGCTGTTTTAGGATCTTCAGTGGTCCCTATCCTACCAATTTAAATAAAATACCTATTTTAAAACTCCAAAGGAAGATTTATGATATTGAGGATTCAAGTTCTCAGCATATCAGGGAGGTTTTGCAATACGATCAGACAGATATAACAAACTCCAGACCCCTATATTTCAGGGTATTATAACATTGGAGAGTAATTTTGTTATAAGAACCTCCACCCCTTTCCTTTAAAGCATTATTTCTAATGCATTTGGGTTGAGATAAATCTGAGCTTTTTCATTTACAAAAACATAGAAAATGTTTAGAATCTGGTTCAGAGAGTAAATCACCACACAGGACTGGGCTCTTCCAACTTAAAGCCTTTTCAGAAGATGACAGGTGGGTGAAAAAAAATCTCTTAAAATAACTGCACGTCAGTGCATTGTCAGTGTTTTCACGAGGAAAATATTCGACTGCATTGAAGATGCTGGTAGAGACCAGCTGAACTGGGATACTCAGTTTTTCATTAGGATTGTACTGACTTGCCATTTACATCACAACTTCATCATCATAAACTCACAAGGGACCAAAAGAAAAGTTCATTAAGAGTTCATGTTTGCTATAATAGGGTTAGTCAATGTACTGCATCATATTAGTGAAAAATTGGATCCTGCTGTTGGGATCATTAAATGTAGAGATTTGTTATAGACAGGGCTTGTTAAAATTAGGTGGCACGGTATGTCTTTGTTTCAGCCTTTAGTTATACTACTTGTGAGCTCACCTAAGGTCTCATAAAGGGACAAAGGGCCAAGATATAATCTCAGCTTTATGTTAGCAGGTTGCTATGGCAAAATGAACTGTCCCAGGGAAATAGAAAGATGCAATCGATTTTCCCTCTCTGTTTGGACTGGAGTCCAAAGCCTTGGAAAAAAGGGTGTCAGTGCTCTCCTGTCTCCCCAGGGCTTACCAAGCTGAGGTGGTCTGCTTTCAAGAGAAAACTAGTCCCAAGGATCTGTCCTTACCTCATGGACAGATGCGGTGCACTCCTGCAGAGCATCTGGCTTCTTTGAAACAGTGGTGAAAAAGAGGCTTGCCTGGGAATGTCCAGTAACAGAGCATGGTGGGAAGCAGAGGACTCTCAGACTCTATAGAAAACACGTGCTTATACACAGGTAGTCTTGATTCCAGCTGCACTAGAGGACGTGCTTGAAAAGTGTAATCTGTGGTGTGTCTACATGTGCATTAGATCTGGTAGCAGTTTACTTGTGAGTAAACCACTCGGGAGCAAATGCTCCTGAGCAGGCATCCACACATGTAGGAAGCATGCTAATGGCAGCAAACTTCTCCTGCTTCCTGGGGCCCTACAATGGGCCCCTGCCACCAGTGGGGGGAGCTCTAGGCTCTCGCTGGGGCTGGCAGGGAATGCCAGGCTAGGAGACCGCTGTCTCCTGGTCGGGGCTGGGACACTGCACCCTGCCTGGGGGGCTGTCTGCTGCTGGGGTGGGGACAGTATCCCCCTGCTCTGGCAGCAGGGAGCTTGTGGGGCAGGGGACTTGGAAAGAGCTGCAGTGGTGGGGCAGGTCCCTCCCCCCCTTTCCTGACCCGCCGGTGGGGCATCTAGAAGCTAGCTCACGGCTATCTGTTCCACTGGTAGACTTGGGCAGGGGGATGGGACCTACCCCACCCTGCAGCTCTTTCCAAGCCTCATGCCTCAATCATCTAGACCACCTCCTGACCAGGATAGTTCCCAGCCCCCGCTCCGTGAACATGGAGCTGGGTGGGGAACAGGCTGGGGGGGGTGTTTCCCCCCCCCCTCCCCCAGTGTGGGGGAGCTTGTTCCCCTCTCAGCTCCACAAGTGTGGAGCTGGGTGGGGAACAGGCTCCCCAGCTCCCCGTCAGCAGGGAGCTCCCAGCACCAGCTCTGCAGAGCTTGGGTTGGGAGATAAGGATCTCTTAGTACCACCCCCGTGACTGCGATCTCAGCGTGGGGGGCTTGGAGCTCCCTGCTGGTGGAGAAGGCAGACATAGTCCCTGTCCGGGTTCTGTTTGTGGAGCCTGCCCCAGCAGCAGGGAGCAATCTCCTGCTCCCTGGTGGCTGGCTGACTGGAAGCAGATTTGCTCCTGGTCAGGCATCTACACGAGCGCTACTGCACCATTAGTAATTGAAAGTAAATTTGCTACTTGCATTTGTGGGTACCAAATTTACTCATGATTAGAGAGGCTGAGTGCACACTAAGCATGTGCGCATACTGCACAGTAAACTATGCTACTATGCACTAAAGCGTCTCATGTAGATGCACCGTGTACAGCAGAAATTTGGTGGTGGTATCATCAATAGCTATCACCCACAAAAACCATTGCCTCTCAAATAATTCCTGGGCCATCACAGCTACAACATCCCTCCAACACTACTAAAATATATTACTTCATTTAAAAACTGTTCAATTGAGTCATTTTGACTTCTTAAATCTTTTCCTCCCATGGGTCTTTCCAAACGGCCATTTTTGGCAAATTAACTACTTGTCAAAAATAAAAAAAGTCCACGGGGCTGACAGCATGCTTAATTTGGTCCTATTCCTGATGTTTTCTTACCTGTTTGCAGCTAACATGGCTCAGATTTGCACTGAATAGTGGTCAGGTTCTTGAGAACACAGCCAGTAGGTATGGAAGAGAGTTTGCATTGGTTGTTTAAAAGGAAGAACAATGATCGACAATCACCAGTTAGTCCATCTGTCAGTTACCTTTGATATAATTGGCATGCATACAGCCCCTTGTGCAGAGCTGCTCAGTTAGCTCTTTTGCATTCTTTGTTAAGGTTGTCTCAGAAGAGGGCAGTGTTGGCTAATTACTCCTATAAAGTTAGACACGTAAGACTTAAGCACTTGAATATGATGTTCAATGGTACTGAGCTCCCACTGGCTTTGTTGGGAGATGAATCATGCTTTGGGGGAAAATTTTTCAAAGCACAAATGAGAGTTGTGTCCTGCAGAAGATAATTCAGATTGCAAAGCAGAACAGAAAATAAACAAACAGCCATAGTCCCTCTTGGGTTCTGTATGAAGAAATCCTTTAATATATTTCTGTATTGATTTAACAACTTGCCATTTTGAACAGATAATCAGTTTAGACAACAGAATTTATGACTAAACCTGCCTGTTCTGCTAATCCCTAACTAGATCACGGCATCCAAATGAGATTACTTGGGTCCTTAGAGAGGTGTGGTCATTAAAATAAAAACATTTGTCCCTGTTACATTTTTTTTGTATTTTAGAAACTATTTTCTTCATTCTATTTAGTTTTATCAAGTGATCACAAGTGCTAATGCTCTCATGTTATGGTAAGTGTCTGGGGTCTGAGATGCAATGATACAATATGCAAGAACATAGGTAACACGATACATCCTAAATGGGACTGTACAGCATTGTGTATAACTGAACACATTTATTATACTGCTCCTGGAAAAGCTTATGATCAATGCAAAGGGAACAAACTTATTCCTTTCTTTCCCTGCTCTCCTGCTCCTAAATACATTCGTGATCAATGCTAGGGGAACAAACTTGCTGTTTTATTTCCCTATCCTACCACATCTTCAGACACAGCTTCATTTCCTGTACTTTTCAGTTTTTTCATTGGATGCATTTACATTGACTGGTTAAAGCGAGG